TTTTATGATCATTCTGAGAAAGTAAAACTTACCTTTCCTTTTCAAACCCCCTTTTCCCCCAAGAAATGAGGAAAATTGAAGTGTTAGCCAAATGGAAAGGGAAGGTTTTAAGTTCTTAGTAAAATGCCACTTTCAGCCATCCTTGATAGTTTTAGAAGCATATATATGTAATTTCAAGCAAGTGATATTCTAATTACAGATCAGTCTTAGGTATTCATTAGAGCAAATCTCCCGAGGACTTTACCAGGAAATACTTAGCCGACTTTGGATGGTTGGATGTAATTTAAAGTAATAAAGCTGCATTTATTTTTAAATACTCTGTGATTCTGACTAATTTCCGGCTGACCAGGCCTCAATCTGTTCAAATTAGGGACGTTTGACTACATTTTAAAAGGTGGATTACCAAAAACATAGATAGGGTCTTTTAAATGAACATATCAGAACAATTGCTGAAGTAGAGAAAAGTAAAGAAGGAAAGGTCTGTGTTCTCAGATAATGTTAAACTAAGAAAGAATAAGACTTAAATGCTTGCCTTACAATTATACTCAAAGCGAGTTATGGATTGCTTTAAAGAGAATAAAATTGATTTAATTATTTTTCATTAGATGCTTTAGTCATTTGTTCCTTATAATCTACATTAGTATTAGCCTCTAACACAAGCATAGAATCTGGAAGATACGCAGCTCTTCACCCACCCACCCACCTCCTGCAGCACCCCAGCTTCCCAGAGGGACCAAAAATTACTGTAACCATTAGAGGAAAATGTCAGAACCAAAGATTTTTTTCCTCGTGGGAAACCCTCTAACGGGTATATAGGTTCACAGCTCTTAATCTGTAATTCTACAACACCAAAAGCTCCGAAAACTAAAAGCGTTTGAGGTTCGTTAGTGGCAAACTAATTTGGTGGCAAAACCTGTCCAAAAAATTCTCTGAGGCTCTTTCTAGCCTTTATTTCTCTCATTTAGTGTGAATATCCACGTTTCACTGCAGAAACACGGGTATATTTGATTGCGATATCCCGTGCCAGCATGTTAGTGGCAAACTAATTTGGTGGCAAAACCTGTCCAAAAAATTCTCTGAGGCTCTTTCTAGTCTTTATTTCTCTCATTTAGTGTGAATATCCACGTTTCACTGCAGAAACACGGGTATATTTGATTGCGATATCCCGTGCCAGCATGTTGGTGGGGGGGCTATTTTACATAATGTGAGAGATGCGTATTGTATGTGCTTTCTGAAATTGCAGTTTTGAATTCGTAGTGCATCTGGCCCTGGAGATTTGCAGGCCAGCACCTCTTCAGTAGCATCTGTTGCTCTTGCTCCTTCTGATCCTCTTTCCCACCACAGTCTCTTCCCTCCCCAGCCTGGTCAGGGGAGGAAGACCTGGGAGAGACTGGGTTGGGAGCAGCCCCTTAATGCATGATGATGACTGGGGGCCACACCCGAATCACACCCCCCACACATGCACGTGCAATTTTTGTCACGCTCCCCCTGTGCCCCTCAGGTGCTTTATTTTCTTTGAAAGACGTCAGTTCTGTCCCGAGCTCCCGTGTCCACAAGTCCTGACGCCGGGGCGGGGCTCCTGTGTGTCGTGTCGCTGCAGGTGTGAGGAGGACATCAACGAGTGCGAGCGCGAGGAGTGTGAGAACGGCGGCTCTTGCGTCAACGTGTTCGGCTCCTTCCTGTGCAACTGCACCCCGGGCTACGTGGGCCAGTACTGCGGGCTGCGCCCCGTGGTGGTGCCCAACATCCAGGCCGGCCACTCGTACGTGGGGAAGGAGGAGCTCATCGGCATCGCCGTGGTGCTCTTCGTCATCTTCGTGCTGGTCGTGCTCTTCATCGTCTTCCGCAAGAAGGTCTTCCGCAAGAACTACTCCCGCAACAACATCACGCTGGTGCAGGACCCGGCCACGGCCGCGCTGCTGCACAAGAGCAACGGCGCCCCCTTCCGGAACCTGCGCGGCGGTGCGGACGGCCGCAACGTCTACCAGGAGGTGGGGCCCCCGCAGGTGCCCGTGCGCCCCATGGCCTACACGCCCTGCTTCCAGAGCGACTCCAGGAGCAACCTGGACAAAGTCGTGGACGGGCTGGGGGGCGAGCACCAGGAGATGACCACGTTTCACCCCGAGTCACCCCGCATCCTGACAGCCAGGCGGGGCGTGGTCGTGTGCAGTGTGGCCCCCAACCTCCCAGCCGTGTCACCCTGCCGCTCCGACTGCGACTCCATCCGGAAGAATGGCTGGGATGCAGGAACTGAGAGTGAGTAAGGAGTAGGGATGCGCCATTATTTATTCCACCAGTTTTTACCGGGAGCCCGTGGTGTGCAAAGGCACTGTGGGAGGGAATAAAGGGAAGGGAGAGAGACCAGCATGCACAGAGCACTGGCTATGACACATGCTGGCACTGAACGTTCATCCTGGCCCTGACAAATTGCTCTGGTTCTTACCCCTGTTTACACGTGGGGAAAAGGAAGCTGAGAGAAGGTAATGTCATCTGCCTAAGGTCACACAGCTACTAAGAGGCAGACGATACTCCACTCCCATGTTCCAGACTCTAAAACCCTTGCTCTTTTCAGAATAGCACGCCATTGGCCCTAATGCAAGCAGTGTAGCCACAGAAGTCACGTACAGAAACTGTGCTCTGAGAAGTCAGAAGATGGGAGTATGTCTAGTCTTAGAGTGAGGACTAGAGGGAAGCAGAGGGGCATTTGAGCTGGACAGTGATGGGTCGATGGGTCTGGGGAAAGGAGGACATTCCATGTAGAGGGACCCATGTGATCTAAAGAAAAGCAAGTCATTCCATTTGGCTGGAATGCAGGGTCCATGAAATGAGAGTGAACTGCAAGGCAGGAAAAATGGCCTGAGCCAGATGATGGTGTTTCCTTCTCCTTTTGGCCTCGTGCAGCAGTACTCTGGGCACAGGGAGGAGCTGCAGGTGCAAAGGCCCTGGGGTTGGAAAGAGCTTGATGTGTTGAAGAATGCAGAGGAGGTCAATGTATTTCGGGCTCAGATGAGCACTAGAAGAGAGCGTATACATTTTAACAGCAACGTTATTGCAGGTTTTTAAGCAGATGAGTGGCATAATTAATTTACATTTTAAAAAGCTGGCTCTGTCTGATCCATGAAAAGAGATTGAACAGTATCAAAGAGGGGAAAAGGCAGAGAGCCACTGTGAACACCTAGGTGAGAGATGGTGATTGTTTTCCCTGCCCTAGTATAAGTCAGGATGAGACTAAGGCAAGCTATGTTGTAACCTATGACGTTTCATCAGGCCACATGGTTTTATGTTCCAGCAGCAGTGATGTCCTGGGTAGCAGGAATTTCTGAAGGCTGTGTTTACAGTACTGTAGTATATGTTGGATTAGGGGGGAGGCAGACTTCAAATGGAGCTCGAGACTATGTGCAGCCAAGGAGATGGGGGTGTCTTCATGGAGGAAGGGGGCATTCTACTGGTATCTTTAAGTATGAGCAAGATTTCAGTAGGAAACGATTGAATAGGACTTCCCAGAAGCAGGAAGCAGCTCCATCAGTGTAGAGGATGCATGAGGGGGTTACCCCAGCGGTGTCTGGCTCTGTTGTTCAGGAGAGAGGTCAAGACTAGAGGTGAAAGTATAGACATCATCTGCATGCAGGATGCTTGACTCTGTAAGAGGGTGAGCTCACTGAGAGCAAGAGCAGAGAGAGGGGGTGGTCAAACTAGGCCTCCTGAAGAAGCTTGGAGATGCCAAGGTGTTAGGCAGAAGGGGAGGAACGAGGAAGGGAAACCAACACTTGCCAACAAAGAGAGAGAAGGGAAAGAGGAGAAGGAAGCTGTGCAGAAGTGAAGAGGTAGTGTCAGTAAGGTCAGCAGTATCAAGTACTATAAACTCATCAAGGAGGACACAGGCTTAAAAAAAAAACAAAAACAAAAAACAGCTGAGCTCATCACCTAGCAGATTCTTAGGATCTCAAGAGCATCTCAGTGTAGTCATCAAAGCAGAAGCTAGAATGCATGTTGTCTTAGTCTGTTTTGTGTGCTATACAGAATACCACAGACTGGGTAATTTATATTGAACAAAAATGTATTTGCCTCGTGATGTTGGAACCTGGAAAGTCCAAGAGCATGACACTGCTCTCTGGCATGGGCCTTCTTACTGCATCATAACATGGTGGAAGATGTCACATGAGTGAGAAAGAGCACGTGTGAGAGCAAACGGGCTGAACTTACTTTCCTAATAAATCCATTCTTGAAATAATGAACCCATTCCCGAGATGACATTAATCCATTCATGAGACCAGAGCTCTCATGACCTAATCACCTCTTAAAGGTCCCACCTCTTAACACTATTGCATTTGGGATTAAGATTCCAACACATGAACTTTGGGGAACACACTCAAACCATAGCACAAGGGTTAAGGATGAAGAGATCTGCTGAGAAAGCAAAGGCTGTGTGCTTCATCATCTCCTTAAATTGTCACAGCTGCCCCACATGGTTACTGTTAGCAGCCCATCACTTCATGGAGGAGAAAATTCCAGGTGCAATAATTTGCCTACAGGGACACACGTAACTAGCAAAGGGAGGAGTCAAGATTTGAACCTGGTTCATCAGGCTCCATAGCCTGCACTCTTACCAGCACACCTCTCGAAAGTTTTGGCAGGAAGATGGGAGAGTTATATAAGAGGGAGAGGATTGCTTGATGATAGAGCAGGGCCAAGGATGAGTTATTTCTATTCTAGCACCGCCCAACATGCTGTTGGCTGATTCTGTCTTTCTGTAGACACATATATTTTAAGTAGTTGTCCTTGGATTTTAACCATAAGTGTATTCTCTCCCAAATTATCTGTAGAGTTAGACTTTACTACAGTCTTGCCAATCCACCAGCTAATAGGCTTTTTTTTTTTTATTTAGCAATGAAAAAAGAGGGCTTTGAATAAATGGAGTGGAGAAGGGAGTTTTATACACAGAACTGCATCCACCAGGGTGGATCATTAGTCCTCTCCTTCCTTGTGTTCTGAGCTAAGCTTGTGCACACGTTGTGCCTTTCAGAGGCACATCTTCACATTTTCTACAGTGTGGCTATTGGGAGGTGAATTTGTCCCTGGCGTCCCTCAACTTATACCAGTTGTTCATCCAACTCATCATTTTCCTGTGACTTCAAGATCTGACAGCAAATGTGGAGTCGCCGTGTCTGCTCCTGACATCACCCTTTGTGGAAGAAACAGTGATTTCTGTGGCCACGAAGAGGAAAAACTGTTCCCTTAATCACAAGTCTGTGTCGCTTTCTACCCCCATGTTACATGATGATTTGCAGCTTTTCCTGGTGATCATTTTCCTCCTGCTTCATGATATGACAGCTTTATTTCCAGAATCTACCTCAGGCCAAAACTCACATTTCCCTCAAAAGTATTTTTGGGTTGTATGGAATACATTTTCTTCTTTGTTAAGCAAGGCAGAGTTAGCTGGCGAGACGATCTCTGGGCGCCTAATTCATTTTGCACTTGACAACCTCAAGATACGGACTGATTTTATTGCTTCCTTTAGTCCATCAAATTAGAAAGTAGCTCTGGTGTGTGTGTGTGTGTGTGTGTGTGTGTGTGTGTGTGTGTGTGTGTGTGTGTGTATTTCAGGCTTCATACCGCAAATAGGGAGGAAGCATGTGGATAAGAACACATCCACACCGCTGACTGCTCTCCTACCGGACACAGGACGCAGAACATTGTCATTCTCAAAAATGATACGACGCTGCCCTCTAGAAGGCAAAGCTGAGAATTCCACTTGCTCCCCAGAGATGGAAGTTAGGATAAATATAATAGCATTCTTGCTTATAAAATATTTATACCCCTATTTTAAAAGTAATATTATTTAAACTGGTGTTGACACCGCATTGGCTCATGTAAATGATGTAAATTAACTCTGAGTGGCAAAGAGCGATGCAGCCACTTCATCCTTGTTTTACTCTTAGTCACTTCACTTTGAGCAGGGAACAGCTACTTTCAGCTGTCAGCTATTTGGAAGCTCATTTACTACGGGTTAAGGGTTTTGAATCCATAATGTAAATCACTTGATTGACAGACCTTTGCCCTCAGTGGCACAATCAATTTTCTGTTGTGAAGCTAAATTATTTTCTCTAAGTTACTACGGGTTAAGGGTTTTGAATCCATAATGTAAATCACTTGATTGACAGACCTTTGCCCCCAGTGGCACAATCAATTTTCTGTTGTGAAGCTAAATTATTTTCTCTAAGCAAATGAAAGTGCCCCAAGAAGTGAACTTGAGGGTGGGGAGGCAGCACTGGAAATATGCACAAGGTAACCAGTGTCATTTCTGCTTTCTCTTTGGCTGTCTATGAAGACAAAGGGGCTGATGACCCGGGAGAAGTGACCTGCTTTGCAGGCAGTAATAAAGGGAGCAACTCAGAAGTTCAGTCCCTCAGCTCCTTCCAGTCGGATTCTGGTGACGACAATGGTAAGAAGTCATCAAACTTGTTCCATGTTGATGTGTTCTGCTTCCCGTGCTGAAAGACAGTGGTTAGGGGAAGGGGATATGACCAGCTTTGTTTCTTGACTTGTTCATGGACTTTTGACTGTGTTCACCAGCTTTCTGGTTGACCCCATTGTTGGGTGTCATTGCCAAAGGAGCCCTTATGGAGCTGCAGCTGTGATCAGGCTCAGTGATCTGTGTCAGGGGTTGAAAAAAGTTCCCCTGTACCTCCAATAGTGAGTCCTCTCTGATTTGGTTCATGATGATCCGCCTCATCCCAAATGATACTCTCTAGCAACCGAAGTGAATTATTTTTTTTAAGTTTTACCAATGATTTCTTCCCTCTTCACTGTAGATCCAACCTCCCCATCATTAGAAATTAGTTTAGAAACAAGACCTCCTTCCTGTAGAATCAGTGGTATCTTCATTCAGATGACTCCCTTTTATGATCATTTGGGGTCATGGGCTTTTGGAGAATTTATTAAAAAATTTGAAGCAGCAATGCACATACACCCACAGATGTTGCCTGCAATTCCCTGTGGTTCACTAACTACGTGGACACTCCAAAGCTTCTACCTCTACCTTCTGTGAACTTATGCTCATGGAGAGGGTGCTAATGCTGGACTGGGTTTTATGAGCTGAGGAATCAGCTTTGGAGGATAGGTTTTTCTCCCCAGAGTAGGGGAGGGAAGCAGAAACACATACTTATAAACAGTGAGTGTTTACCATATGGTGGTAAACGAAGAATCATCCCAGTCATCCACAGAGACAGACAGCCTTACCTTAGTCTATACCTTAGGTCATTTTCCCATTTATCAGCAATTGGCAAAAATTGGATAGTTATTAATTTATGTAATCATTCTACCCATAAACTCTTGCTGAGTTTCTCCTGCATGCTGAGTCTTGTGTTGGGCATTTTGTGCCTAGAAGTACAAAGTGAAAGGGGTGTAATCCTTCCTTCAAGGTAAATACAGGAACAGGTGAGCTCCAAGACTGTAGAAGCAATCAGGAAAGTAAAATAGTCTCCTTTCACCACCACCACTGTCTCCCCAAATCTCTTCCACCTGCTTCCCCAACACCTGGCACTCCTGAGAAGTACAGAAGCCTCACTGTGTCTGTCAACTGGGATGACAAACCACGTAACAGTGGATTTCTTCTGACCATTCTCAGAAAGTCAAGACTGAGATCTGTTTGCTTTGGTGCATCCTCCTTTACCCGTCTGCAGCAGAAGAAAAGCTGTGCTGGTTTGCATATTTTATATAGAAGTACCTGAGAGCATATAGTTTCCAGATGCCAGGGACCAGCTCCAGTGATGACTGTTCTCATGGGCTCTGCTGTGTGTGCCTTTAAGGTCACACACTTGCCCTTTCATGCCTAACATTCTGGGTTGGCCCCAACTAAGGCAGATAGTGTTAGGAACTTTCATCAAATTCCTTTCAAGCCTGATCACTTATCCACAAGGTGCTGGTATCAGGCACTAAGACAGCCTATATAGACCACAGAGATCTCCTTCCTGATTCTAACTGTTTTAAGAGGCCAGATGTTGACTTCTTTCTGCATTTTACTGGCATGCACTGGGCCTTGGGTCGTTCTGGGCTATCGGTGGCATCATGTGAGTGTGAAGCCATTAGTCCTGCAAAGGTTATCCTCCATCACTGGTGTTTGGTTTGGAGCAGCATGTCTGTCCAGCCAAAAAAAAAAACTATCCTTGGGAATAGTGAGATCTTCCTCCAAGAGTCTTTGGGAGTTGCTAATGAGAAATTAACATGAGCTTGAGGAGCCACCACCTTCCAAGATTGATTTTACTGGGCAATGACATGGGAATTTATGACTCAGCAATTCCTGCTGATCATGCCTTTCAGGAAGGCTGGCCCCAGATGTGCTGCCATTTCTTTTCCATTCTAGGAATCCCCAGAACCCCATAGATAAAAGTGTCCACCGACATACATCTTAAGGGACAGATTGTGGGAAGGCTTTGGGGGTTTGCATGCTGCGCCTTCATTGTTGCTGCTGCTTTCTTTTCCATTCTAGGAATCCCCAGAACCCCATAGATAAAAGTGTCCACCGACATACATCGTAAGGGACAGATTGTGGGAAGGCTTTGGGGGTTTGCATGCTGCGCCTTCATTGTTGCTGCTGTTGTTGTTAAAAGAAGTTAATGTATGTTTAAAATACACAGCTAACCTGAAGCTATCCTTCCCCTCCCTCCCATCTTCTTTTCCTGACGGCAAGCATCCATAGTGACTGTCATTCAGCTTGTCAACAATGTAGTTGACAGTATAGAGAATGAAGGTATTTACTTTTTTTCTTCTGTAGCATTTCTTTGTGAAAAGAGTTTTCCTCTTAGAAATTTTGCTTTCTTGTTACTTTAGACTAGGAGTGATTTTAATCAACTGGCAACAGAGGGGGCAGTAAACAGATGGTTTCAAACAAGATGCTGGATGTTTCTCTATGGATTGGCGTAAATTTTACAATTTTGACAAACAAGTCTAGTTCATAATTTTTTAAATATGTGGGGTACTTTTTAAATAAAATTCTCTTAAAGAAAAGAGAACCCAATTAGTTGGAATCAAGATTAACACTAAATTCACTCGATATGTATTCATTGAACAACTACTTTGAGCTGGAGATACTTAAGAAGTCATTCAAAGCTATAATATTATGGGGATTGATTTCAATCAAGTAACTTTTATTAGTGACTTAATGAAATTAGGGCATGATATAGATGGGATTTATCTTTCTTATTTCCTAAATAGCAGTGGGGACAAATAAAAACAGCTAAACTTAGTCATGGTCCATAGCCGTTTAGGAGCATGTTTTTTTAAAGTCATCTAAAATGTTCTGTTTTACCCCTCTTCACATGACTTGGATTGTCAGTTTCACTTTTCACTTTGTATTTAAACAGTGTCTGTCATGGACCAAGGAGAGAACTACAACCGAGGTGACTACTCCACAACCCAGCATAACGTTTTTATTTACACATTTTGCATTGCTGAGTTCGTTCTTATCTTGTCCGTCTGCCTCCAGCCTTTCTGAGTTTCTTTGATCTGAATTGTGCATGTTCCAGGTGTCTTGTGTGCTCAGTATCGGACATGAAAGCCTCACCAGCATTCCTTTCTCAGCCTCCTCCTTAAGGGTTTTGAATCCATAATGTAAATCACTTGATTGACAGACCTTTGCCCCCAGTGGCACAATCAATTTTCTGTTGTGAAGCTAAATTATTTTC